TTGTTCCTTTTGTTCTTTTGTTCGTTTTTTTTCTGTCGTCTTGTTGTCATGTTTGTTCGCTTTTTTTCTGCCGTCTTGATGTCGCTTTTTTTTCTGTCGTCCTGAGGTCCCGCTTGTTCGTTTTTTTTTTCTGACGTCTTGATGTTACTTTTGTTCGTTTTTTTCTGTCGTCTTGATGTCCCGTTTGTTCTGTTTTATTCTGTCGTCTTGATGTCCCTTTTGTTCGCTTTTTTCTGTCGTCTTGATGTCCCTTTTGTTCGTTTTTTTTCTGTCTTCTTTATGTCCCTTTCGTTTGTTTTTTCTGCCGTCTTGATGTCCCTTTTGTTCGTTTTTTTTCTGTCGTCTCGATGTCCCGCATGTTCGTTTCTCTCTCTAACATTTATGTCAAGTTGGTTCGTTATTTCGTGTCGTCTTGAGGTCCCGCTTGTTCGTTTTTTATGCATCTTGATGTCCCGCTAGTTCGTTTTTTTCTGTCGTCTTGATATCCCTTTTGTTCGCTTTTTTTCTGTCGTCTTGATGTCCCTTTTGTTCGCTTTTTTTCTGTCGTCTTGATGTCCCTTTTGTTCGCTTTTTGTCTGTCGTCTTGATGTTACTTTTGTTCTGGTTTTTTTCTGCCGTCTTTATGTCCCGCTTGTTCATTTTTTTTCTGTCGTCTTGACGTCGTTTTTGTTCGTTTTTTTCTGTCGTCTTGATGTCCCGTTTGTTCGCTTTTTTCTGCCGTCTTGATGTCCCGCTTGTTTTTTTTTTGTTTCTGTCTTGTTGTTTTTTGTCCGTCTTGATTCCCTTTTTTTTTCGTGTCGTCGTGAGGTCCCGCTTGTTCGTTTTTTTTGTCGTCTTGATGTCGATTTTGTTCGTTTTTTCTGTAGTCTTGATGTTACATTTGTTCGTTTTTTTTTCTGTCGTTTTTTTCTGTCGTCTTTATGTCCCGCTTGTTCATTTTTTTTCTGTCGTCTTTATGTCCCGCTTGTTGATTCTTTTCTGTCGTCTTGATGTCCCGCTTGTTGCTTTTTTTCTGTCGTCTTGATGTCCCTTTTGTTCGGTTTTATTCTGTCGTCTTGATATCCCTTTTGTTCGCTTTTTTTCTGTCGTCTTGATGTCCCTTTTGTTCGTTTTTTTTCTGTCGTCTTGAAGTCCCGCATGTTCGGCGTTTTTTTGTCGTCTTGATGTCTCTTTTGTTCGTTTTTTTTTTGTCGGCTCGATGTCCCGCTTGTTTTTTCTGTCGTCTTGATGTCCCTTTTGTTCGTTTTATTTTCTGTCGTCTTGATGTCCCTTTTGTTCGTTTTTTTCTGTCGTTCCTTTTGTTCGTTTTTTTTTCTGTCGTCTTGATGTCATGTTTGTTCGTTTTTTTCTGTCGTCTTTTTGTCATGTTTGTTCGTTTTTCTTCTGTCGTCTTGATGTCCCTTTTGTTCGTTTTTTTTTCGTCTTGATGTCGTTCTTGATGTCCTTTTGTTCGTTGGTTTTTTCTGTCGTCTTGATGTCCCTTTTGTTCGTTTTTTTTTTTTTTCTGTCGTCTTGATGTCCCTTTTGTTCTTTTTTTTTTCTGTCGTCTTTATGTCCCTATTTTTAATTTATTTTTTTCTGTCGTCTTGATGTCGTTTTTTTTCTGTCGTCTTGATGTCCTGCTTGTTCATTTGTTTTCTGTCGTCTTGATGTCCCGCTTGTTCATTTGTTTTCTGTCGTCTTGGTGTCCCTTTTGTTCGCTTTTTTCTGTCGTCTTGATTTCCCGCTTGTTCTATTTTTTCTGTTGTCTTGATGTCCCTTTTGTTCTGTTTGATTATGTTGTCTTGATGTTACTTTTGTTCGTTTTTTTTCTGTCGTCTTGATATCCCTTTTGTTCGCTTTTTTCTGTCATTTTGATGTCCCTTTTGTTCGCTTTTTTTCTGTCGTCTTGATGTCCCTTTTGTTCGCTTTTTTCTGTCTTCTTGATGTCCATTTCGTTTGTTTTTTTCTGTCGTCTTGATGTTACATTTGTTCGGTTTTTTTCTGTCGTCTTGATGTCCCGCTTGTTCGGTGTTTTTTTGTCGTCTTGATGTCTCTTTTGTTCGTTTTTTATCTTTCGTCTTGTTGTCCCTTTTGTTCGTTTTATTCTGTCGTCTTGATGTCCCGCTTGTTCATTTTTTTCTGTGTTCTTGTCGTCCCTTTTGTTCGCTTTTTTTCTGTCGTCTTGATGTCCCCATTGTTCGTTTTTTCTGTCGTCTTGTTGTCCATTTTGTTGTTCATTTTTTTCTTCGTCTTGATGTCCCTTTTGTTCGCTTTTTTTCCGTCGTCTTGATGTCCCCTTTGTTCGCTTTTTCTGCCGTCTTGATGTCCCTTTTGTTCGCTTTTTTTCCGTCGTCTTGATGTCCCCTTTGTTCGCTTTTTCTGCCGTCTTGATGTCGTTTTTGTTCGTTTTTTTCTGTAGTCTTGATGTTACATTTGTTCGGTTTTTTTTCTGTCGTCTTTATGTCCCGCTTGTTCATTTTTTTTCTGTCGTCTTGATGTCCCGCTTGTTGCTTTTTTTTCTGTCGTCTTGATTTCCCTTTTGTTCGTTTTATTCTGTCGTCTTGATGTCCCTTTTGTTCGTTTTATTTTCTGTCGTCTTGATGTCCCTTTTGTTCGTTTTATTTTCTGTCATCTTGCTTTCAAGCTGGTTCGTTTTTTTCTGTCGTCTTTATGTTACTTTTGTTCGCTTTTTTTCTGTCGTCTTGATGTCCCGCTTGTTCGTTTGTTTCTGTCGTCTTGTTGTCCATTTTATTCGCTTCTTTTCTGCCGTCTTTATGTCCCGCTTGTTCATTTTTTTCTGTCGTCTTTATGTCCCGCTTGTTCATTTTTTTTCTGTCGTCTTGATGTCCCGCTTGTTCGTTTTTTTTTTGTCGTCTTGATGTCTCTTTTGTTCGTTTTTTTTCTGTCGTCTTGATGTCCCGCTTGTTCATTTGTTTTCTGTTGTCTTGATGTTACTTTTGTTCGGTTTTTTCTGTCGTCTTGATGTCCCGTTTGTTCGTTTTCCTTTTTGTCATCTTGCTTTGAATCTTGTTCGTTTTTTTCTTCCGTCTTTATGTCCCGCTTGTTCATTTTTTTGCTTTTTTTTTGTCGTCTTGATGTCCCGCTTGTTCATTTTTTTTCTGTCGTCTTGATGTCCCTTTTGTTCGTTTTTTTTCTGTCGTCTTGATGTCCCTTTTGTTCGTTTTTTTCTGTCGTCTTGATATCACTTTTGTTCGCTTTTTTTCTGCCGTCTTGATGTCCCGCTTGTTCGTTTTTTTCTGCCGTCATGATATCCCTTTTGTTCCTTTTCTTTTCTGTCGTCTTGATGTCCCTTTTGTTCGGTTTTTTTCTGTCGTCTTGAAGTCCCGCTTGTTCGGTGTTTTTTTTGTCGTCTTGATGTCCCTTTTGTTCGTTTTTTTTCTGTCGGCTCGATGTCCCGCTTGTTCGTTTCTCTCTCTCATTTTCATGTCATGTTGCTTCGTTTTTTCGTGTCGTCTTGATGTCCCGCTTTTGTTAATTTTTTTTTTCTTGTCGCTTGTTCGTTTTTTTGTGTCCCTTTTGTTCGTTTTTTTTTCTGTCGTCTTGATGTCCCGTTTGTTCGCTTTTTTTTTTTTTCTTTTGTTCGTCTTGATGTCCCGCTTGTTTGGTTTTTTTTTCTGTCGTCTTGATGTTACTTTTGTTCGCTTTTTTCGGTCGTGTTGATGTCCCGCTTGTTCACTTTTTTCTGTCGTCTTGACGTCCCTTTTGTTCGCTTTTTTTCTGTCGTCTTGATGTCCCCTTTGTTGTCTTGATGTTGCTTTTGTTCGGTTTTTTTTCTGTCATCTTGTTTTATTCTGTCGTCTTGATCTACCTTTTGTTCGCTTTTTCTGCCGTCTTGATGTCCCTTTTGTTCGATTTTTTTCTGCCGTCTTGATGTCCCTTTTGTTCGCTTTTTTTCCCGTCGTCTTGATGTCCCGCTTGTTCGTTTTTTTTGTCGTCTTGATGTCTCTTTTGTTCGTTTTTTTTTTGTCGTCTTGATGTCCCTTTTGTTCGTTTTCTCTCTGTCGTTTTATGTCAAGTTTGTTTCGGTTTTTTTTTCGTTTGTGTCCTTTTGTCCCGCTTGTCCCGCTTTTTTTTTCTGTTGTCTTGATGTCCCGCTTGTTTGTTTTTTTTTTCTGTCGTCTTTGTGTCCCGCTTGTTCATTTTTTTTCTGTCGTCTTGATGTCCCGCTTGTTGCTTTTTTTTTCTGTCCTCTTGATTTCCCTTTTGTTCGTTTTTTTCTGTCGTCTTGATGTTGCTTTTGTTCGTTTTTTTTCTGTCGTCTTGATGTCCCGCTTGTTGCTTTTTTTTTTCTGTCGTCTTGATGTCCCTTTTGTTCGTTTTTTTCTGTCGTCTTGATGTCCCTTTTGTTCGCTTTTTTTTGTCGTCTTGATGTCCATTTTGTTCGCTTCTTTTCTGTCGTCTTTATGTACCGCTTGTTCATTTTTTTTCTGTCGTCTTGATGTCCCGCTTGTTCAATTTTTTTTGTCGTCTTGATGTCCCGCTAGTTCGTTTTTTTCTGCCGTCTTGATATCCCTTTTGTTCGGTTTTTTTCTGTCGTCTTGAAGTCCCGCTTGTTCGGTGTTTTTTTGTCGTCTTGATGTCTCTTTTGTTCGTTTTTTTTCTAGTCTTGATGTCTCTTTTGTTAGTTTTCTTTTGGTGTTTGTTCGTTTTTTTTTTTGTCATCTTGATGTCCCGCTAGTTCGTTTTTTTCTGTCGTCTTGATGTTACTTTTGTTCGTTTTTTTTTTGTCGTCTTGATGTTACTTTTGTTCGTTTTTTTCTGCCGTCTTGATGTCCCGCTTGTTCATTTTTTTGCTTTTTTTGTCGTCTTGATGTCCCGCTTGTTTCTTTTTTTCTGTCGTCTTGATATCCCTTTTGTTCGGTTTTAATCTGTCGTCTTGATATCCCTTTTGTTCGCTTTTTTTCTGTCGTCTTGATGTCTCTTTTGTTCGTTTTCTTTTCTGTCATCTTGTTTTGAAGCTTGTTCGTTTTATTCTGCCGTCTTGATGTCCCCGTTGTTCATTTTTTATGTGTCGTCTTGATGTCCCGCTTGTTCGTTTGTTTCTGTCGTCTTGTTGTCCATTTTGTTCGCTTCTTTTCTGCCGTCTTGATGTCCCCTTTGTTCGCTTTTTCTGCCGTCTTGATGTCTCTTTTGTTCGTTTTTTTCTGTCGTCTTGATGTTACTTTTGTTCGCTTTATTTTCTGTCGTCTTGATGTCCCTTTTGTTCGTTTTCTTTTCTGTCATCTTGTTTTGAAGCTTGTTCGTTTTATTCTGCCGTCTTGATGTCTCCCTTGTTCATTTTTTATGTGTCGTCATTATATGTCCCGCTTGTTCATTTTTTTTCTGTCGTCTTGATGTCCCGCTTGTTCGTTTTTTCTGTCATCGTGATATATCTTTAATTCGCTTTTTTTCTGTCGTCTTGACGTCCCTTTTGTTCGCTTTTTTCTGTCTTCTTTATGTCCCTTTCGTTTGTTTTTTCTGTAGTCTTGATGTCCCTTTTGTTCGGTTTTTTTTTTTCGTTTTTTTCTGTCGCCTCGATGTCCCGCGTGTTCGTTTCTGTCTCTAACTTTTATGTCAAGTTGGTTCGTTTTTTCGTGTCGTCCTGAGGTCCCGCTTGTTCGTTTTTTTCTGTCGTCTTGATGTCCCGCTTGTTCGCTTTTTTCTGTCGTCTTGATGTTACTTTTGTTCTGGTTTTTTTTCTGTCGTCTTGATGTCCCTTTTGTTCGATTTTTTTCTGCCGTCTTGATGTCCCTTTTGTTCGCTTTTTTTCCGTCGTCTTGATGTCCCCTTTGTTCGCTTTTTCTGCCGTCTTGATGTCTCTTTTGTTCGCTTTTTTCTGCCGTCTTGATGTTACTTTTGTTCGTTTTTTTTTCTGTCGTCTTGATGATGTCCCGCTTGTTGCTTTTTTTTTTATGTGGTCTTGATTTCCCGTTTGTTCGTTTTTTTGTGTCGTCTTGATGTCCTTTTGTTCGTTTTTTTTTGTCGTCTTGATGTCCCGCTAGTTCGTTTTTTTCTGCCGTCATGATATCCCTTTTGTTCCTTTTTTTTCTGTCGTCTTGATGTCCCTTTTGTTCGCTTTTTTTCTGTCGTCTTGATGTCCCTTTTGTTCGGTTTTTTTCTGTCGTCTTGATATCCCTTTTGTTCGGTTTTTTTCTGTCGTCTTGATGTCGTTTTTGTTCGTTTTTTTTCTGTAGTCTTGATGTCCCCCTTGATGTCCCTTTTGTTCGCTTATTTCTGTTGTCTTGATGTTACTTTTGTTCGTTTTTTTCTGTCGTCTTCTTGTCATGTTTGTTCGTTTTTCTTTTGTCGTCTTGATGTCCCTTTTGTTCGTTTTATTTTCTGTCGTCTTGATGTCCCGCTTGTTCGTTTTTTTATGTCGTCTTGATGTTCTTTTTGTTCGTTTTTTTTCTTGATGTTTGTTCGTTTTTCTTCTGTCGTCTTGATGTCCCTTTTGTTCGCTTTTTTTGTCGTCTTGATGTCCCTTTTGTTCGCTTTTTTTGTCGTCTTGATGTCCCTTTTGTTCGTTTTATTTTCTGTCATCTTGCTTTCAAGCTTGTTCATTTTTTTCTGTCGTCTTGATTTCCCGTTTGTTCATTTGTTTTCTGTCCTCTTGATGTCCCTTTTGTAGTTTTTCTCTGTCGTCTTGATGTCCCTTTTGTTCGCTTTATTTTCTGTCATCTTGCTTTCAAGCTGGTTCGTTTTTTTCTGTCGTCTTGATGTCTCTTTTGTTCGTTTTATTCTGTCGTCTTGATGTGTTGTTTTTTTTTTTCTGTCGTCTTGATTTCCCTTTTGTTCGTTTTATTCTGTCGTCTTGATGTCCCGCTTGTTTTTTTTTCTGTCATTTTTTTTCTGTTCTTTTTTTGTCGTGTCCCTTTTGTTCGTTTTTTTTTTTTCTGTCGTCTTGATGTCCCGCTTGTTCGTTTTTTTTTTTTTGTCGTCTTGATGTCCCGCTTGTTCGTTTCTCTCTCTCAATTTTATGTCAAGTTGGTTCGTTTTTTCGTATCGTCCTGAGGTCCCGCTTGTTCGTTTTTTCTGTCGTCTTGATGTCGTTTTTGTTCGTTTTTTTCTGTCGTCTTGATGTCCCTTTTGTTGTTTTTTTTTCTTCTTGATGTTTTTTCAAGTTTTTTTTTTCTGTCGTCTTGATGTCCCTTTTGTTCGCTTTTTTCTGTTGTCTTGATGTTACTTTTGTTCGTTTTTTTCTGTCGTCTTGTCATGTTTGTTCGCTTTTTTTTCTGCCGTCTTGATGTCGCTTTTGTTCGGTTTTTTTCTGCCGTCTTGATGTTACTTTTGTTCGTTTTTTTTCTGTCGTCTTGATGTTAATTTTGTTCGTTTTTTTCTGTCGTCTTTATGTTACTTTTGTTCGCTTTATTTCTGCGTCTTGACGTCCCTTTTGTTCGCTTTTTGTCTGTCGTCTTGATGTTACTTTTGTTCGTTTTTTTCTGTGTTCTTGACGTCCCTTTTGTTCGCTTTTTTCTGACGTCTTGATGTCCCTTTTGTTTGCTTTTTTCTGTCGTCTTGATGTCCCTTTTGTTCGTTTTTTTCTGTCGTCTTGATGTTACATTGGTTCGGTTTTTTTTCTGTCGTCTTGATGTCCCGCTTGTTGCTTTTTTTTTTCTGTCGTCTTGATGTCCCGCTTGTTGCTTTTTTTTCTGTCGTCTTGATTTCCCTTTTGTTCGTTTTATTCTGTCGTCTTGATCTACCTTTTGTTCGCTTTTTTCCGTCGTCTTGATGTCCCCTTTGTTCGCTTTTTTCTGCCGTCTTGATGTTACTTTTTTTCGTTTTTTCTGTCGTCTTGATGTTACTTTTGTTCGTTTTTTCTGTCGTCTTGACTTTTTTTCGTTTTTTTTGTCGTCTTGATGTCTCGTTTGTTCTTTTGTTTTTTTTCTGTCGTCTTGATGTCCCGTTTGTTCATTTGTTTTCTGTCGTCTTGATGTTCCTTTTGTTCGCTTTTTTTCTGTCGTCTTGATGTCCCTTTTGTTTGTTTTCTTTTCTCGTCTTGATGTCTTTTGTTTTTTTCTGTCGTCTTGATGTCCCGCTTTTGTTTTTTTTTCTGTTGTCTTGATGTCCCTTTTGTTCGTTTTTTTTTCTGTCGTCTTGATGTCATGTTTGTTCGTTTTTTTCTGTCGTCTTGTTGTCATGTTTGTTCGTTTTTCTTCTGTCGTCTTGATGTCCCTTTTGTTCGCTTTTTTTGTCGTCTTGATGTCCCCTTTTGTTCGTTTTTTTCTGTCGTCTTGTTGTCATGTTTGTTCGTTTTTCTTCTGTCGTCTTGATGTCCCTTTTGTTCGTTTTATTTTCTGTCATCTTGCTTTCAAGCTGGTTCGTTTTTTTCTGTCGTCTTGATGTCATGTTTGTTCGTTTTTCTTCTGTCGTCTTGATGTCCCTTTTGTTCGCTTTATTTTCTGTTGATGTCCCTTTTGTTTTTTTTCTTCGTTTTGTTCGTTTTTTTCTTCGTCTTGATGTCTTTTGTTGTTTTTTTTGTCATCTTGATGTCCCGCTTGTTCGTTTTTTTCTGTGTTCTTGACGTCCCTTTTGTTCGTTTTTTTCTGTCGTCTTGATGTAACTTTTGTTCAGGTTTTTTTTTCTGTCGTCTTGATGTTACTTTTGTTCGCTTTTTTTTCTGCCGTCTTGATGTTACTTTTGTTCGTTTTTTTTTCTGTCGTCTTGTTGTCATGTTTGTTCGTTTTTCTTCTGTCGTCTTGATGTCCCTTTTGTTCGCTTTTTTTTCTGCCGTCTTGATGTCGCTTTTGTTCGTTTTTTTTTTCTGCCGTCTTGATGTTACTTTTGTTCGTTTTTTTTCTGTCGTCTTGATGTTACTTTTTTTCGTTTTTTTTTTGTCGTCTTGATGTTACTTTTGTTCGTTTTATTTTTTTCTGTCGTCTTGATGTACCTTTTGTTCGTTTTTTTTTCTGTCGTCTTGATGTCCCTTTTGTTCGTTTTTTTTCTGTCGTCTGATGTCCCCTTTTGTTCGTTTTTTTTCTGTCGTCTTGATGTCCCTTTTGTTCTTTTTTTTTCTGTCGTCTTGATGTCCCTTTTGTTCGTTTTTTTTTTCTTTCTTGATTTTAAATCTTTTTTTTTTTTTGTCGTCTTGATGTTACTTTTGTTCGTTTTATTTTTTGTCATCTTGTTTGATGTCCCGCTTGTTCGTTTTTTTCTGTCATCCTGATATACCTTTAATTCGCTTTTTATCTGTCGTCTTGACGTCCCTTTTGTTTGATTTTTTTTTCGTCTTGATGTCCCGCTTTTTCATTTTTTTTCTGTCGTCTTGATGTCATGTTTATTCGTTTTTCTTCTGTCGTCTTTATGTCCCTTTTGTTCGTTTTTTTCTGTCGTCTTGATGTCATGTTTGTTCGTTTTTTTTCTGTCGTCTTGTTGTCATGTTTGTTCGTTTTTCTTCTGTCGTCTTGATATCCCTTTTGTTCGTTTTTTTTTTGTCGTCTTTCTGTCCCGCTTGTTCATTTTATTCTGTCGTCTTGATGTCCCATTTGTTCGCTTTTTTCTGTTGTCTTGATGTTACTTTTGTTCGTTTTTTTTCTGTCGTCGTGTTGTCACGTTTGTTCGTTTTTTTTTTCTGCCGTCTTGATGTTCCGCTTGTTCGTTTTTTTCCGTCGTCCTGATATCACTTTTGTTCGGTTTTTTCTCCGTCGTCTTGAAGTCCCGCTTGTTCGGTGGTTTGTTGTCGTCTTGATGTCTCTTTTGTTCGTTTTTTTTCTGTCGTCTTGATGTCCCGCTTGTTCGTTTTTTTCTGTCATCCTGATATACCTTTAATTCGTTTTTTTTCTGTCGTCTTGATGTCCCTTTTGTTCGCTTTTTTCTGTCGTCTTCATGTCCCTTTTGTTCGTTTTTTTTCTGTCGTCTTTATGTTACTTTTGTTCGTTTTTTTCTGTCGTCTTCATGTCCCTTTTGTTCGTTTTTTTTTCTGTCGTCTTTATGTTACTTTTGTTCGCTTTATTTTTGCGTCTTGATGTCCCTTTTGTTCGTTTTATTTTTTTCTGTAGTCTTGATGTCCCGATTGTTGCTTTTTTCTCCTGTCGTCTTGATGTCACACTTGTTCGTTTTTTTTCTGTCGTCTTGATGTCCCGCTTGTTCATTTTTTTTCTGTCGTCTTGATGTCCCGCTTGTTCGTTTTTTTTTGTTGTCTTGATGTCCCTTTTGTTCGCTTTTTCTGTTATCTTGATGTTACTTTTGTTCGGTTTTTTTTCTGTCGTCTTGATGTCCCTTTTGTTCGTTTTATTTTCTGTCATCTTGCTTTCAAGCTGGTTCGTTTTTTTCTGTCGTCTTGATGTCATGTTTGTTCGTTTTTTTCTGTCGTCTTGATGTCCCGCTAGTTCGTTTTTTTCTGCCGTCTTGATATCCCTTTTGTTTGCTTTTTTTCTGTCGTCTTGATGTTACTTTTATTCTGGTTTTATTTCTGCCTTCTTGATGTCCCTTTTGTTTGCTTTTTTTCTGCCGTCTTTTTGTCCCTTTTGTTCGCTTTTTCCGTCGTCTTGATGTTCTTTTGTTCGTTTTTTTTCTGTAGTCTTGATGTTACATTTGTTCGGTTTTTTTCTGTTGTCTTTATGTCCCGCTTGTTCATTTTTTTGCTTTTTTTTGTCGTCTTGATGTTCCGCTTTTTCATTTTTTTTTCTGTCGTCTTGATTTCCCGCTTGTTCGTTTTTTCTGCCGTCTTGTTGTCCCGCTTGTTCGCTTCTTTTCTGCTGTCGTTATGTCCCGCTTGTTCATTTTTTTTCTGTCGTCTTGATGTCCCGCTTGTTCAATTTTTTTGTCGTCTTGATGTCCCGCTAGTTCGTTTTTTTCTGCCGTCTTGATATCCCTTTTGTTCGCTTTTTTTCTGTCGTCTTGATGTTACTTTTGTTTTTTTTTCTGCATTCTTGATGTCCCTTTTGTTCGCTTTTTTTCTGTCGTCTTTATGTCTTTTGTTCGTTTTTTTTTTTTTGTCTTGATGTCTTGTTTTATGTCCGTCTTGTTCGTTTTCTTTTCTGTCTTCTTTATGTCCCGCTTGTTCATTTTTTTTCTGTCGTCTTGTTGTCATGTTTGTTCGTTTTTCTTCTGTCGTCTTGATGTCCCTGTTGTTCGCTTTATATTTTTGATGTGTTTTTTTTTTTTTTTTTTGTCTCTCGTCTTGATGTCGCTTTTTTTGATGTTTTTTTCTGTCGTCTTGATGTCCCTTTTGTTCGCTTTTTTTTATCGTCTTGATGTCCATTTTGTTCGTTTCTTTTCTGTCTTCTTTATGTACCGCTTGTTTATTTTTTTTCTCTCGTCTTGATGTCCCGCTTGTTCATTTTTTTTCTGTCGTCTTGTTGTCATGTTTGTTCGTTTTTCTTCTGTCGTCTTGATGTCCCTTTTGTTCGTTTTATTTTCTGTCATCTTGCTTTCAAGCTGGTTCGTTTTTTTTTCTGTCGTCTTGATGTCCCTTTTGTTCGTTTTTTTTTCTTGTCTTGATGTTTTTTGTTCGTTTTTTTTTTGTCGTTTTTTGATGTCGTCTTTTGTTCGTTTTTCTTCTGTCGTCTTGATGTCCCGCTTGTTCATTTTTTTCTGTCGTCTTGATGTCCCTTTTGTTCGTTTTATTTTCTGTCATCTTGCTTTCAAGCTGGTTCGTTTTTTTTTCTGTCGTCTTGATGTCATGTTTGTTCGTTTTTTTCTGTCGTCTTGTTGTCATGTTTGTTCGTTTTTCTTCTGTCGTCTTGATGTCCCTTTTGTTCGCTTTATTTTCTGTCATCTTGATTGATGTTCGTTTTTTTTTCGTCGTCTTGATTTTTTTCTGTCGTCTTGATGTCCCGCTTTTGTTCGTTTTTTTTTCTGTCGTCTTGTTGTCCTTTTTGTTCGTTTTTATTCTGTCGTCTTGATGTCCCTTTTGTTCGCTTTTTTCTGTCGTCTTTATGTCTCTTTTGTTTGCTTTTTTCTGTCGTCTTGATGTCCCGCTAGTTCATTTTTTTTCTGTCGTCTTGATGTCCCGCTTTTGTTTTTTTTTTTTTCTGTCGTCTTGATGTCCCTTTTGTTCGTTTTTTTTTCTGTCGTCTTGATGTCCTTTTGTTCGTTTTTTTTTCTCGTCTTGATGTCCCGCTTTTTTTGTTTTCTTCTTTTCTGCCGTCTTTATGTCCCGCTTGTTCAATTTTTTTTGTCGTCTTGATGTCCCGATAGTTAGTTTTTTTCTGCCGTCTTGATGTCCCGCTGGTTGATTTTTTTTTGTCGTCTTGATGTCCCGCTTGTTCGTTTTTTTTTTGTCGTCTTGATGTCTCTTTTGTTCGTTTTTTTTTTGTCGTCTCGATGTCCCGCTTGTTCGTTTCTCTCTCTCATTTTTATGTCAAGTTGGTTCGTTTTTTCGTGTCGTCTTGATGTCCCGCTTGTTCGTTTTTTCTGTCGTCTTGATGTCGTTTTTGTTCGTTTTTTTCTGTAGTCTTGATGTTACATTTGTTCGGTTTTTTTTCTGCCTTCTTGATGTCCCTTTTGTTCGATTTTTTTCTGCCGTCTTGATGTCCCTTTTGTTCGTTTTTTTCTGTCGTCTTGATGTCATGTTTGTTCGCTTTTTTTTCTGCCGTCTTGATGTCGCTTTTGTTCGTTTTTTTTTCTGCCGTCTTGATGTTACTTTTGTTCGGTTTTTTCTGTCGTCTTGATGTCTTGATGTTCCGCTTTTTCATTTTTTTTTCTGTCGTCTTGATGTCGCGCTTGTTGCTTTTTTTTTCTGTCGTCTTGATGTCGCGCTTGTTGCTTTTTTTTCTGTCGTCTTGATGTTCTTTTTTTTTTTTTGTTTTTTTGTCTTTTGTTGTTTTTTTTTTTGTCGTTTGATGTTTGTTCGTTTTTTTTCTGTCGTCTTGATGTCCCGCTTTTGTTCGTTTTTTTTTTTTTTTGTCTTTTGTTTGATGTCCCTTTTCTTCTTTTGTTTTTTTTTTCTGTTTTTTTCTTGATGTCCCTTTTGTTTGCTTTTTTCTGTCGTCTTGATGTCCCTTTTGTTCGTTTTTTTCTGTCGTCTTGATGTAACTTTTGTTCAGGTTTTTTTTTCTGCCGTATTGATGTCGCTTTTGTTCGCTTTTTTTTCTGCCGTCTTGATGTCCCTTTTGTTCGGTTTTTTTTCTCTCTTTTTTATGTCAATGTCCTTTTGTTCTTTTGTTTTTTTTTCTGTCGTCTTTATGTCCCGCTTGTTCATTTTTTTTCTGTCGTCTTGATGTCCCGCTTGTTGCTTTTTTTTCTGTCGTCTTGATTTCCCTTTTGTTCGTTTTATTCTGTCGTCTTGATGTCCCGCTTACCTTTTGTTCGCTTTTTTCCGTCATCTTGATGTCCCCTTTGTTCGCTTTTTCTGTCGTCTTGATGTCCCTTTTGTTCGCTTTTTTCTGTCGTCTTGATGTCCCTTTTGTTCGTTTTTTTCTGTCGTTTTGATGTGAATTTTGTTTGGTTTTATTCTGTCGTCTTGTTGTCATGTTTGTTCGTTTTTCTTCTGTCGTCTTGATGTCCCTTTTGTTCGCTTTTTTTTGTTGTCTTGATGTCCCTTTTGTTCGCTTTTTTCTGTCGTCTTGATGTCCCTTTTGTTCGCTTTTTTCTGTTGTCTTGATGTTACTTTTGTTCGTTTTTTTCTGTCGTCTTGATGTCCCTTTTGTTCGTTTTTTTTCTGTCGTCTTGATGTCTCTTTTGTTCGTTTTTTTTTGTCGTCTCGATGTCCCGCTTGTTCGTTTCTCTCTCTCATTTTTATGTCAAGTTGGTTCGTTTATTCGTGTCGTCCTGATGTCCCGCTTGTTCGTTTTTTTCTGTCGTCTTGATGTTACATTTGTTCGGTTTTTTTCTGTCGTCTTTATGTCCCGCTTGTTCATTTTTTTTCTGTCGTCTTGATGTCGTTTTTGTTCGTTTTTTTCTGTAGTCTTGATGTCCCTCTTGTTCGGTTTTTTCTGCCGTCTTGATGTCCCTTTTGTTCGTTTTTTTTTGGTCGTCTTGATGTCTCTTTTGTTGGTTTTTTTCTGTCGTCTTGATGATACTTTTGTTCGTTTTTTTCTGTAGTCTTGATGTTACATTTGTTCGTTTTTTTTTTTCTGTCGTCTTGATGTTACTTTTGTTCTTTTTTTTTATGCCGTCTTGATGTCCCTTTTGTTAGATTTTTTTCTGTCGTCTTGATGTCCCTTTTGTTCGCTTTTTTTTATCGTCTCGATGTCCCTTTTGTTCGGTTTTTTTTGTCGTCTTTATGTCTCTTTTGTTTGCTTTTTTCTGTCATCCTGATATACCTTTAATTCGATTTTTTTCTGTCGTCTTGATGTCCCTTTTGTTCGCTTTTTTCTGTCGTCTTGATGTCCCTTTTGTTCGGTTTTTTTTCTGCCGTCTTGATGTTACTTTTGTTCGGTTTTTTCTGTCGTCTTGATGTCCCGTTTGTTCGTTTTCCTTTTTGTCATCTTGCTTTGAATCTTGTTCGTTTTCTTCTGTGTTCTTGACGTCCCTTTTGTTCGCTTTTTTCTGACGTCTTGATGTTCCGCTTTTTCTTTTTTTTTCTGTCGTCTTGATTTCCCGCTTGTTCGTTTTTTTCTGCCGTCGTGTTGTCCCTTTTGTTCGCTTTTTTTCTGCCGTCTTGATGTCCCTTTTGTTCGTTTTATTTTCTGTCATCTTGTTTTTGCTTTTGTTTGTTTTTTTGTTGTCATCTTGATCTTGATGTCTTGATGTCGTTTTTTTGTTCGTTTTTTTTTTGTCGTCTTGATGTTACATTTGTTCGGTTTTTTTCTGTCGTCTTTATGTCCCGCTTGTTCATTTTTTTTCTGTCGTCTTGATGTCCCTTGTTCTTTTTTTGTTTTTTTTTGTCGTCTTTTGTCCTTTTGTTCGTTTTTGATCTTTGTTTTCCCTTTTGTTCGTTTTTTTTTTGTCGTCTTGATGTCTCTTTTGTTTTTTTTTTTTTTTTGATGTTGTTCTTGTTCGTTTTGTCCCGTCTTGATTCGCTTTTTTTTTTTTCTGTCGTCTTGATGTCCCGCTTGTTGCTTTTTTTTCTGTCGTCTTGATTTCCCTTTTGTTCGTTTTATTCTGTCGTCTTGATGTCCCGCTTGTTCGCTTCTTTTCTGCTGTCTTAATGTCCCGCTTGTTCATTTTTGATCTGTCGTCTTTATGTCCCGCTTGTTCGTTTTTTTTCTGTCGTCCGGATATACGTTTAAATCGCTTTTTTTCTGTCGTCTTGACGTCCCTTTTGTTCGCTTTTTTCTGTCTTCTTTATGTCCGTTTTGTTCGTTTTTTTCTGTCGTCTCGATGTCTCGCGTGTTAGTTTCTCTCTCTAACTTTTATGTCAAGTTGGTTCGTTTTTTCGTGTCGTCCTGAGGTCCCGCTTGTTCGTTTTTTCTGTCGTCTTGATGTCGTTTTTGTTCGTTTTTTTCTGTAGTCTTGATGTTACATTTGTTCGGTTTTTTTTCTGTCGTCTTGATGTTACTTTTGTTCTTTTTTTTCTGCCTTCTTGATGTCCCTTTTGTTCGATTTTTTTCTGCCGTCTTGATGTCCCTTTTGTTCGCTTTTTTTCCGTCGTCTTGATGTCCCCTTTGTTCGCTTTTTCTGCCGTCTTGATGCAAGATAAAACAAAACATTTTTTTATCGTTATTGTATTTACTACTTGACCGTCGTCGACCATATATCTATGAAAAAAACATAGTATCACTATTTACAGTTGAAGTATATTTTCAGCTCATGATATAATGTACAGTATATAGCAGGGGTTGTTTAAGTCACATTTTGATCTATTACTTTCAAAATGGTAAGAACAAATAAGTCTCACAAAGACAACAACACATAAGATTATACATGGGTAGAAGATGGCAATAGCTACATGATGTTACTGATTTCATTAAGTATTTTGTGTAAAATCTTCTTTGCACTTATATTCATGCGCTATATGAATAGCATAACCATACACATATATAAATTATATATATTTAAAAACAGTAACAATAGAATGTGAGAAGCTCATGTTTGCAACCGTACAAGCATAGACATATTAATAGTACTTTTTAGGTATAAGTCACAAAACAGAGGTTATCTCTGTCTACCAGGGAGAATTAGTAAACGTATATCTAGTTATGATTAAATATTTAATATTTTTAATGACCAGTATAAACAGATAATGTATTATTCCACATGAAAGTAAATTATATTACAGGGTGAGTAAGCCAAGGTCACAGCTGATGCACGGGCAAAAATGACACGTGCACTGGCACCACTACTGTGACCTCACCTGTACAGGTGTACAAGATATACAAAACATCCCG